GAATAACAGAGTTGGAAGGGACCTTGGAAGTCTTCAAGTCCAGGGGTCTCCAACCTTGGCAACTTTAAGCCTGGAGGACTTCAACTCCCAGAATTCTATGGAAGAAGGAAGGACCATGGGCCAGACGTGGAGTCTGGGGAAGGCTCAGATGAGAGCTCTGCGTCACAGGCAGAGAAAGGGCCATCTGGGAGGTACGTGCTGCCTCCGGAGCCTCCAGAGTCGGTCCTCAGCGAGGCAGAGGCAGGGGGAGCCTGTTCCCAGTGTGTGCATGCGCAGAGCTGCCAGAAGGCAAGAACAGTTAAAACAAAAGGGACAACTCAGAAGTAGGGCTTGGAGATGATTGGCCCCTCACATCAGACTTAAAAGGGGAGCAAAGGTACATGGGCCTTTGTAGGAAGCAACATTGTTAATTCTGTGCAGTTTAAAGTCTGAAGCTCTGTTTGATTCTGGATTCCGTGCGGCTTTGCCAATTAGGTCTTTGGCAGCATGTCAAGGGAGATAAAGCTGGGTGATTATTAGCCTAATCCCGAAGGACTCTTTACAACTATTTGGGATTCATCTGTGAATGAACAGAATTCACAGCTGTTAAAATAAAACAGGTTTTTGGGACTACTCGTGTGTTTTACTGACTCAGGAAGCCTAGGTCAGAACAGTCCTTTCAGATCTGGACGGTGCCAAGTTAGGTGTATCTAATTGAAATTGAGTTGCCTTTGGCACCACACTCAACTTGAGTTATTCCACGAGATGTTCCTCCAGCATTCCTTTGATCCTTCCTAGGTTCGACTGGACTTTCATGTTTTTCTTTGAAGACATTTTGCTTCTCATCCAAAAAGCTTCTTCAGCTCTGACTGCCATCCATTCCCTACCTTCCATTTCCCCACCATCTTGGGGGGAAAAGCATCGTTGGGACAACCATGACTTGGATGACTGAGAATCTCCGTAGACACTCATGTTTTTGGTTCCGCGGTAGAGAGTGCCTCTCTCAGGAGCCCTCAAGGACTTGACTTTGGTTGCCCTCTGCCCTTGAGGGGGCTCCTGGGTTGGCATTCGAGCTTGTCTCCATCCGTTCCGAAGAAGTTGTGCTGTGCAGATAAAGAGTTCTCTGTAATTAGAAAGCGGCAGGGGGCATAACAAGAGGCTAAATACATAGCTGTGGTTTTAATTAGACAGCACTTCAAATTAGTAATTGCGGCTTCTGTGAGAAACCGGTGACTCTGTACCGCTGCAAAAGCCCAATGGCTGTGTGGCTTATTCCTCATTATAGCTCGCTGTGTGAATCCTTCAGTAGGTTGGCCTGCTGAGCTGAAAAGACTGGTGTTGAGATACGGTTATTTTCTTTGGGCAAAAAAAAAAAAAGGGCTGGAATGAGATTAAATTCATCCCCAGCAGAGACGCGAGGATATATTGTTCTTCGCTACCTACATGTGGTCGTATCTAGAAGGTGAATTAAATCCAGCCATGAATCAAGATCTCTCTCTCTTTTTTTTTTCTCTCTCTCTCTCTCTTGGCTCGGCCTACTTCACAAGAATGTTGTTGGACAGAAGCCATCGCAGAACTCCTAGAAAAAAAAAACCCATGGGTGTAACAAACAACGACCAAGTAACTAAGGCCGTATGAATATTTTTTTAAAAAAAGGTTTTCCACTTGAGATTTGATTGGCCCCCAACTCTGCTGGTTTCCGGAAAGTCTTAAGACCCTGGCTGATTGCCCAGGTTGGGGATCAGGAAGTCAGGAAAGTTTAAGTGCTTCATCATTCCTTGGAGGTATTTTATTCTTGGCTGCAAGTTTGTTTTCTTTGGCTCAGGCTGTGGTCCATTTGATACAGTTATTTATATTGTTGGTCAGACCCTAAATTCTTCTCACCTGTGTCAACCCTTTGGGTAGGCCACATCAGGAGCCATGGTTCTCAGGAAGACCTGAAGTCTACTTAATTAATCTTGTAAGTCAGCACAATTCAAAATATCTATCTATCTATCTATCTATCTATCTATCTATCTATCTATCTATCTATCTTTGGTTATTCGGGTTTTCTCCCGCATAAAATTGGAAGTGTCTTGGCGACGTTTCGACGAAGTCTCATTCGTCATCTTCAGGCTGGTGTTTTCGGCTTCGTGCTTCTAGGAGCAATGTTAGAAGCACGAAGCCGAAAACACCAGCCTGAAGATGACGAATGAGACTTCGTCGAAACGTTGCCAAGACACTTCCAATTTTACGCGGGAGAAAACCCAAATAACCAAAGACCTACATACAATACCCGCAAAAACCTCAGAAAACAAATATAGGGCAGCACAGAGTCTGCTGTCTGTCAGCAAGAAACAAAAAGCCCAGAAATGTGTGAATGAGATTTCACAGAACCAGGGCTGTATAACATCTTAGCTTACGTAGGTAAAACCTGGCTAGAAAGAATATGCATATATGCTAAGGTCCTAGAAAGGGTGCAGAGAAGAGCAATAAAGATGATCAGGGGTAGGGACCTGGTTGCGGGAACTGGGTCTGTCTGGTTTGATGAAAAGAAGGACTACGGGAGACATGATAGTAGTGTTCCGATATCTCAGGGGTTGCCACAAAGAAGAGGGAGTCAAGCTATTCTTCAAAGCACCTGAGGTAGGACAAGAAGCAACAGGTGAAAACTAATCAAGGAGAGAAACAACTTAGAACTAAGGAGAATTTTCCTGACAGTGAGAACAATTAATCAGTGGAACAACTTGCCTCCAGAAGTTGTGGATGCTCCAACACTGGAAGTTTTTGAGAAGTTGTTGGATAACCATTTGTCTGAAGTGGTGTAGGGTTTCCTGCCTGAGCAGGGGGTTGGACTAGAAGACCTCCAAGGTCCCTTCCAACGCTGTTATTCTATTTCTATTCTATTTGATAAGGGAGGCTAAACTGTACGATCAACGATTGAGGGAACTAAGTGTGTCTAGTCTGATGAAGAGAAAGATTGCGGGGGGGGGGGGCGGGATGGGACATACTAACTGTTAAAACTTAGTAAATTAGTTATTAAAAGACATGGGGCGGACCTGAAGTTTCCAAGACAATTTAGGTAAGCCCTAGTTTGATAGGGAGAAAGGAGAAGATAACATTTTGAAATCAAGTTACCCATTGATTTTCTTCTCTAGACAAAAACTCTCAGACCCGTTTCGACACAAATCGTTTTTTACCCAAAAAAATACTGATTTACAGCTACAGCGATTGGTATTATTTACTATATTTCTGCGTCACCTAGAAGGGCAGATTATAATTACCCGCATTGATTTGAGCAATTACAGAGCTTCGTTTTTATTAATCCTTTTTAAAACTTACTAGGAAATAGTAAATGCTATATTGCTTGTTTACTATATAATTATGTTTTAGTAATGAGTAATGTCAGGCTGCATTAGGGTGGTGGGATTTAATTAAACATGGAAACAGCAGTAGAAAGGATTTTTTTTATATATAAAAATAAAAATTAAAGCCAAACTGTTAAAACATTCTAGATAAATAAATTTCTCTTATTAAAAATGTCTCATCTACACACAGCCTCCAGTCCTGCTGTTACAGATACATACAACTCAGTGGTGCATTTCAAATTTTTTTACTACTGGTTCTGTGGGTGTGGCTGGGTGGGCATGGCGTGGTTTGGTGGGAGTGGCTTGGTGGGCGTGGCAGGGGAAGGATACTGCAAAATCCCATTCCCTCCCACTCCAGAGGAAGGATACTGCAAAATCCCCATTCCCTCCCCACTCTGGGGCAACAGAGGTATGCTTGAATTAGCCATCATTTAACTTCCAGACTCCATCATATTTGTGGGTGGGTGGGGTGGGTGGGTGGGTGGGAAGCCAGGAAGGAAGAAGGAAGGAAGGAAGGAAGGAAGGAAGGAAGGAAGGAGCGAAGGAAGGAAAGAAAGGAAAGGAAAGGAAGGAAAGAAAGAAAGAAAGAAAGAAAGAAAGAAGAAAGAAGAAAGAAAGAAAGAAAGGAATAGAAGAAAGAAAGAAAGGAAAGAAAGAAAATAGCTGGTGAGATTCGATCTGCAAACTGAAGGCAGCCGTTGATCAGAAGAGTAGCCTGCACTCTTAACTAGCCACTGTGGCTCTTGATATTAGCCATCATTTAGCTTCCAGACCCTGATCATCTTTGAGCTCTTCTCTGTGCTTTTCTAGGGCTTCACCATCTGTTTTGCAACATGGGACCAAAAGGACACGTATTCAAATGTGGCCTACCAAGCAATAGAGAGTGGTACTGTAAAATGCTATCTTTCTGTCAATGCAACCTTAGGACTGCATTGTCATGTTTTTGGCAGCTGTAACACACCACTGTTCCTCTGCCTCTCTGCGTCAGCTTGGAGGCTCCGGGTCTGCACTCCTCATCCTCCTGGTCCCATCTCTGCCTCTGACGCAGAGCTCATCCGGCCTTCCTCAGCCTCCAGGACTGGCCCATGTTCTTCTCAGCCTCATCGCTGCCACTCCGCTGCCAGCACGCGGCTGCTGGCGAACCACAACAGTTGGCCATTCCTCCTTATCCCTGATTCTCTGTGTCTTTCCTTACAAGGAAGGGAAGGAGTAAAAAGACTTGGCAGAGCATTTCAGCCTTGGATAACCTGAGAAATGTCGCCAGCATAAACAGCACGAGAGGCAGTGAACTTCTAGACCTCCACTTTGGATTTGGCTCAGTGCGTTGAGCGACACAAGAAGAGAGTCGAGTTGCAGTGCAACCTCCACATTTTCCGAATGGCTGCAATTAATAATTTGAGGATATTCTAATAGCACTAAGACGGACATCTGAGTTGGAAAACTATTGGGCCATTATTTTTGTTTTCTTATTTGTGATGTGATGTGATGTGTGTGTGTGTGTGTGTGTGTGTGAAGGCCTTCTAGAATCAGACTGCTCTTATCTTTAAATTTCTCAAACGTTCAAAATCTTTCATGGACTGTTTTCTTTCTTTTACAGTTTTAAGAGCGAACAGACATTTTCTTATTTTTTAAGTAAATGCTTATTTATCTCTTTTTTTAAAAAAAAAATTGCAGTCACTATGAACAAGATCGGAACGCCCTTAAGAGGAAGGAATGGGAGCGGAGAAATCAAGAAATCCAGCAAGATGAAGACCTCTTTGCATCTGGCTTTAATCTCTTTGGAGAACCGTACAAGGTAAGTCAACGCTGGGAGTTGACATGTTTGACATTCATTGAGTTGCACAAGCAACTTCTTCCTTCTTCTACGTGTTCCTTGCACCTCAGCCCCCATGGGGAAGATCATCCTGCAAGGAACAGGCAAAGGTGGCTGTTGAGAGATTGCTTTCTCCAACTTGAGGTCTTCAATGATGTTGGACATCCATGATGAGTACGTGAGCTGAGAAAAATGGGAAGACTTCAAGAGACCAGCCTTATGTCTATGTTCACATTCACATTATTAGATAATAATATCCTGCCCTCTGTATACATCAGTATTTTTGTCAACCTTGGCAGTTCTGAGGTGTGTGGACTTCAACTCTGGTGAATTTTGAGAGCTGGCGCCCACACATCTGAAAGCTGCCAAGGTTGAGAAACGCTGCCTAAATTACAGGCAGTCCTTGAAGTTACAACCATTTGTGTAGCAACGTTTTGACGTTACAACGATACTGAAAAAAGTGACTTATGTCTGATCCTGTTTCCAGCCTCCAGAGGGCCTCCGGAGCCTGGGGAGGCTGTTTTCGCCCTCTTGGAGGCTCAAGGAAAGCCTTCGGAGCCCACCCCTGGAACCAAACCTTCATGTAGTTTGCTCTACATCAGACAAAGATTCGGCCCTGCTTCTTCTTTCCTCTTGTCCTTTGTGATAGCAATGATGCCGCCAGGCTAAATTGGACGCTTTCCCGTTTCTTTCCTCTTTCCAGAAAGCCGAGTCAGTTGAAAACCTGCAAAGGTAATGAGGTTCTTCAGAGAAGAAGGTCCTGAGTTGCAAACCACCTGTCCAGCCTCTTTTGCACAAATGCTGCCTCAGCATTTCTGCAAGGCCAGCTGGAGAGGAGAAGAGAAGAACAAGCGAACGAGTGTTTGGCCTCCCAACTCCTCACTCCCTACCCCACTTCCCTTGACACAATGAGTTCTCCTTGTGTTAAGTGAGGAGGGGGAGCGTGTCAAAGCTGGGTTGGGTCATTGTTCATTGTGCGTTGGGTTGACGAAGGTGGGCTCACTACAAAGACTTGATTCTTGGCTGAAATGGGATGTCCTTTTTTTGGCCCCCCAAAATGTCCTCCTTAAGCTTTTCTTTTTTTAACAAAAAAGAAATACAACCACCCATATACACCAAAGAAAACACTGTTTCTTCATACAGTATGAGTCTTCGCTCTACACAATTGATTAAATTTCTAAATAGTTTCCAAATATTTAGAAAGGAAGCATTTCTTTCTTTTTTTAAAAAAATGACATACAGATATCATGTTTCCACCTCCAATCCACTCCCATCATCTCCTTTCCAAAACTTTATACTCCAACAGAAACATTGTGGTGCAAACAATAAGAGCCTGAGTGGCGCAGCAGACTAATGCTACTATTAAAAGGTAGTATATAGCTTCCAGCTGCCTGCAATTACTGCGAGTTCAATTCTCACCAGGCTCAAGGTTGACTCAGCCTTCTATCCTTTCTAAGGTAGGTAAAATGAGGACCCGGTTTGTGGGGGCAATAAGCTGACTTTGTATAAATATACAAAAGTATGAAGGCTATTGCTTAACGCCTTGTAAGCCGCCCTGAGTTTCCGGAGAAGGGCGGCATATAAATCAAAATAAAAAATAAAATAAAATATACAACTCCAAACAAAAGGATTTTCTAATCATCCTGATGAACATCCGAGTTGAGACCAAGCAAAGCAGTGGTGTGTTGTTGTTTTTTTCATGCAACTCATGAATCGACTACAGAAACCTCAGTTCCTGTAGTCTACTTATGAGGAGCAGCTATCCAGAGTGCAGATGGGCAATCTCAGCATCTCTCCTTTATCTGGAGAGATAGCGTTGGCCAGAGATTACTGTCCAGCTGCTGATCTCCATCACAAAACTCCTTGAGGGACATCTAGTTCTCCATGAATCCTCACCAGAAGCCCAAAAGGGGTTGAATCGTTTTACAAGATCCGCAACTAGGCATTATTCTCCAGCATCTTGAGAGAAGATAGCAATAGCAATAGCACTTAGATTTATATACCGCTTCATATTGCTTTACGGCCCACTGTATATGGAGATTCTCAGTCATCCAGGTCTTGGTTATCCCAGAAGTCTTTTTTCAAGAGGCAACTGGACTTTCTGTTTTTTTTCTTTGAAGATGTTTCCCTTCTTATCCATGACTACAGACTTTTAGCTATACAATTTGGGATGGACACCCTCGGAATGGGGTGGGAGTAGGAATGGATTTCCAGAGAGGAAAAATTGCAGACTACAGGAACCAGGAGCGCTACTCAGGTGACCCTGAGGACATAGATAAACCTTCAAGTGGATGCAAATGACCAGCTGCCTGCAAGGAATAGAAATCCTTCCATTCCCTACCGTCCAGTCAGAGCTGAAGAAGCTTCTTGGATGAGAAGCGAAACGTCTTCAAAAGAAAAAAACAAGAAAAGTCCAGTTGCCTCCTGAAAAAAACCACCTTTGCGTTCCTTGTTTACAAGGACAAATAAACATGCATAAGATATATTTGGATCATACTTGTAGGAACCTATTTATCTGAGGAATTATGTACGGTATCAAATAGTTTTGGAAGGCTGGTTTCCTTTTTCCTTCCACCAACTCTCAGAACTCTTCTGGTAAACAATCAGCTTTCTTTAACCATCATAGTTCCACCAATTGCTCAGATGTAGTTTCCTTGCTCATCTGAACACTCACCCTGTACTACAGGTATAATCCGTAGACCAATGTCCCATCTTTTAAATGGCCTTTCAGAAAAGGAGAGGGGAAAAGAAAAAAGAGAAAAGCCACAGATAAAATCCAGGCAATTGAGTAAGAAGTACACAGGGAATGAAAACACAATAATGCCAAAAATGAGTCAGAATTTGCCTAATAATTGCCGTGCTTTACAGAAAGTAACTGTGAATCATTGATTTGCAAAAACACATGCTGTGTGGTTCCAGAAAATAAAGGCGACTGAATTTTGCAAATACAGCTGACAACTGTATTTATATCTCCTCTTTGATTCTTTTTTTTTTTAAAAGCTCTCCTGAATGCTCATTTTGAAAGAAATTATGAAGTAACCAAGCTGGACGCAGGCCAAAAAAAAAAGCACCCAGAATCAAATCTTTAGTAGTCCGGGGCAACTCAGAACAATACAAAAAAAGGACACTTGAAACTGTTATTCATCACAATGCGGTAGCATAAGTTGGTTGGCAATTACTTTGACCCCCCACTGTTTTTACAGAATAGAGCGCTCTGTACCGTTTCCCGGCAATTGTCTCTTCCTTCTTAGTTGATAACTCAAAGGTTCTTGGTGAGCTGGTAGGCAGCCCTTACCTGTTGGGAAATAGGTGATCATTTCACCTATTTCAGGCTGATTGGCTGGTTGAAGCTGGGGCCAAAATGGCATGTTCAATGAGTGACGTCTCCATGTTTAAACATCAAGTCCAGGGGTGAAACATTACTGGTTCGGACCGGTTCGCCCGAATCGGTAGTAATAAAATCTACCAGTTCGGGTGAACCAGTAGTAAAAAAATGCTACAAATTTGGACGAATCGGTATTTCCGACGACCAGCTGTGCCGCACAGTTTAGCTTTGCTAGAATCTAACGAACCTAAATTGTGTGGCAAAGCTTTTCCCCCCTTCACTGTTCTACTTACCTTAGAAAAGGTTTCTTAAGCCTTCTTTTTCAGCGCTGTGTGGTAGTGCCTGCAGTGCGCAGATGCGTGAAGGACTGCCTGGGGACTTCTAGGAGTTGAAGTCCCCAAATCTTAAAGTTGCCAAGGTTGGGCAACCTCAATTTAAGATATTATGGACTGAGAAAAGTCAGATCTTCTCCTTTCTTGCTTTGCCTCATCTCTGTTCGTGGCTCACCTTTCTTAACCTTGGTTTCTTTTGATGTTTTAGACCAGCAAAGGTGATGCTCTTGCCAATCGTGTGCAGAACACTTTGGGGAACTACGATGAGATGAAGGACCTGCTCACCAACCATTCCAACCAGAGCCACCTTGTCGGCATCCCAAAGAATCCTGTGCCGCAAACCCCAGTAGACAAAAATGAGCCGAGCTTTTTCCCCGAGCAAAGGAACCGGATGGTCGCGCCCCACCAGATGGGTGGGAACACCTCAACGGCTATGCCTCCCCCATCTTCCCTGTCGTCCAATCCAAGTTTGCTGAATGGCCACCAGAGCAGCAGGAAATCCAGGACGGAGTGGTCCCGTAGCAACCACAGCTCTAGCGGTGGCCAGTCGAACCAAGCCAGTAGCCAGCCCAATCGGACCAAACATAGCTCTTCTCATGAGCCAACCCAAGGCCGATATGAGGACCTTTATCCCTGCCAGAATGAGCCACAGAAAACTGGAGGAGGGGAGGAACTCAACACCCCACCTTCATCGTCACATTCAAGGAGGCACAATCACTCCAAATCCACAGCGGCCGAGCACTCCTACAAAGAAACTACCCACTCCAAGTCTCCGGTGGATCTTGATTTTCTGAGTCACGGATCTCCTCTTCCTTCTACATCTTTGCTATCCGCCGCTAACAATCTTTCCAACCAGAACTTTCCTCCTGGACTCCACTGTAAAAGCAGTATGATCCAGCAGAAGCCCACCGCTTACGTTAGGCCCATGGATGGCCAGGATCAAGTCCCGAATGACTCCCCAGAATTAAAACCACCCATAGAAACTGAGGGGGTCTATGGAAACCAATCCTTTGGAAGTCTACTGGAAGGGAAAACCACCGGATCCAGTTCTAAAAATAAACTACCAAAGCTTACCATTCCTCAAATGAATGAAGTAAGTGTTAGCTTTTCTTTCTTTCTTTCCTTCTTTTTTTTCCTGCTCTCTCTCTCTCTCTCCCTCCCTCCTCTCTCTCTCCCTCCCTCCCTCCCTCCTCTCTCTTTCCCTCCTCTCTCTCTCTCTCCCTCTCTCTCCTCCCTTTCTCCCTCCTTCTCTCTCTCCTCTCTCCCTTTCTCTCTCCCTCCTCTCTCTCTCCCTTTCTCTCTCCCTCCTCTCTCTCTCCCTCCCTCTCTCTCCTCTCTCTCTTTCTCTTTTTCCTGGTACTCTTGTCTTTCGGATATATCATCTTTTGCATTTTTTTCTTTTGCATTGGCTTTATAGGACAAAGCCAAGTGGAAAACACATCTCCTGTTTTTATTGATTTATTGCCAATGTATTGGTGGGTTTGTCCAGTCTCTGGTTTGTTTTGTCTTATCAGCTGCCTTTATCCCAAAGGTGTTTTTTTTTTCAAAAGGCAACTGGACTTTGTTTTGAGAATACAAGGACCTTGGAGGCCTTCTAGTCCAGCCCTCTGCTCAAGCAGGAGACCCTATTCCATTTCAGAAAAATGGCTGTCCAGTCATAGATAATAATTAATAATTAATTAATAATAATTAATAATAATAATAGCATTTGGTATATACTCAATGCTATTGTTACCATGGTAGGTATATACTCAATGATTGAGTATATACAATATATGATAATGTAGTAATACTTACTCAGTGTATGAATAGAATAAAATAGAATAGAATAGAATAGAATAGAATAGAATAGAATAGAATAGAATAGAATAGAATAGAATAGAATAGAATAGAATAGAATAGAATTCTTTATTGGCCAAGTGTGATTGGACACACAAGGAATTTGTCTTGGTGCATACGCTCTCAGTGTACATAAAAGATAAATTCGTCAAGAATCATAAGGTGCAACACTTAATGATAATCATAGGGAAACAGTCAATATAAATCTTGTTTTGACCTCGCTGCGATACCTATTCGATGCACTACTGACTGCTGCGCTGTGAAGACGTCTCATTTCTCACCCAAGAAGCTTCTTCAATTCTCCTTTAGAACTCAAGAAGCTCCTTGGATGAGAAGCAAAACATCTTCGAGGGAAAACAAAGTCCAGTTGCCTTTTGAAGAAAGCCTCTTTGGGGCAACCATGGCCAAAAGCCTCCCTAGACAATCCGCTGTCCTTCTTGCACAGAAACGAGTCCCTTAAGTCCTCTGTTGGCACTCATGGCAGTTTTCTTAAAAAGAATAACACAAGCGTCTTTGTCGGGTCGGGTGGTATATAAAACACCTACACACCCACAGCTATCCTCGCATGTTGTGGCCTTGATCCAGATGGAGTCACTGTGGCCTTTCCATGGAATAAAATCGCGTGCCCTTTTGGCACGACGTTGGATCATTGGAAGTTGAGTCAACTTAGCAATGACTAAGGTGCTCAACAGGACTCTTCGTGGTGATTTCTTTGCTCTTCAAACTGATTTCCTTTTCCCTAACTCTCGTGATTCATAGCCGGCATGACTTTTCAGGACCTCGTTCTGAGCGTTTGCAAGAAAGAAAAGTGGGGAGAACAGATGTGGCCCAAAGCAAAAGGATAGACTTAAAATCATTTGTAATATAGGCTGTGGCAGAATCCAAGACGTTGGTTTTGGCTTTAGATCCACGGGGAAACAAAATGTTCTCACAGAACCAAAGAATACCCTGTTTACCACCGAAAGGTAAGAACTACGTGTGATAGTGGACAGCTGGAGAATTAATGGTGAACCAGGGTGTTACGAAGGCGCGTTTCTTTCCATTTGCAAATATCGCGGGTGTTTGACCTTAAGTCAATGTGTTGCCTCTCTGAAAAAAATAAAATAAAGACAAGGGATTACAGATGCTTAAGGAGCTTGAGATATTATGTGTCAGTCTGCACAGGCTTTCAAAAATTGACCTACGCGAATGTCCAAAAACACCTTGCTATCTGCTTCCCGTTTTGCAACCTATCAGCTAAAAGGAAGATTGTGGTGGTGGAGGTCGTTGTTTAGTTTTGCACAGTCTTTTCTCTGTGTGTCTGTGTCTGTGTGTCTGTGTGTGTGTGTGTTGGGCTGTACACTATATCTTAGTCTTCTTGTGTAATCCTAAGAAGCTTTGTTGGCAATCAGTGCGTTCGGCTTTCTAATTAAAGAGAGCATTTCTTTTTTGTTGTTTCTGTTGTTGTTGTGAAGGCAAAAATAGGATTTATGAGATGAATGGTATTAGAAATAATGAATGAATAGACAACTTGGGGGGGGTGGGAATATATGAAGACATGTGAAATATAGCAACGTTTTGCAGATCTGTGGAGGAGAAACCGAGAACCGACCTGGTGTATATTTACTCACGAACAACTCTCACTGGAGGATCTTTAGGGGACAGTTAATGCATGATTCCATTCTGATTTGGGGAATGCTTTTTTGGCATCTGGGCAGAAACTTCTCATCCTTTCAAATGCACTCATTCAAAGGGGTTGGCTTTGATTTGGTGATTCCAATCGCTATTTTGATGCGGGAATTTAATTCCCCCATTCGATGGGATTGCCCTCCAATCCTGCCTTGGTTAGCAAATATTTGAACAATTCCAAGGGTTGCTGAAGGATCCCTGATGGTTAAGCTCAGAGGTCAACATTCACAATTCTTCTTCCATCCTAGGACCAAACAAATAAAAACTTCCCAAGGTGTAGATAGATTTTTTCCCCTTGGAAATTGGATTGCTATGGGGCAAATCCTAGTTTTTCCTCACATCTGCCCAGATTTTCTCTTCTCTTCTCTCCTCTTCTCTCCTCTTCTCTTCTCTTCTCTTCTCTTCTCTTCTCTTCTCTTCTCTTCCTTTCCCTTCCCTTCCCTTCCCTTCTCCTCTCCTCTCCTCTCCTCTCCTGTTCCCTTCCGTTCCCTCTCTCCCTCCTTCTCTTCTTCCCTTCCCTTCCCTCTCTCCCTCTCTCTCTTCTTCCCTTTCCTTCCCTCTCTCCCTCTCTCTCTTCTTCCTTTCCCTTCCCTCTCTCCCTCTCTCTCTTCTTCCCTTTCGTTCCTTTCCTTTCTCTTCCCTCTCTCCCTCCCTCTCTTCTTTCGTTCCCTTTCCTCACTCCTTCTCTCTCTTTTTCCCTTCCTTCCCTTTTTTCCCTTCCCTTCCCTTCCCTTCCCTTCCCTCCCCTCCCCTCCCCTCCCCTCCCCTTCCCTTCCCTTCCATTCCCTTCCATTCCATTCCATCATTTTTACAAATAACTCATGGCAGCAAACATATCCTCCTCCTATTGTCCCCACAAGGCTAAGGTGTGGCTAGAACTCACCATCTCCTAGTGATTGGCGCAAAGCCACCCAGCTAGCTTTCATGCCTAACCTTAACGCTAACCCTAACCGAAGGCAGGATTAGAACTCACAATCTGGTTTAACCACTAAACCAAACTGCCTCTCAATACCAGGTCCAAAGTGAATCCGGAGAGGTGGGGGAGGAGGTATTTAGCTTTTGAGAGATCATTGGCGGATCAAAAGTGGAACAAAACAATAGAACTGATCCAGAATTCCTCAAATCTTGGTTTCAGTGCCAACAATACATATTTTATTTTAAATATAAGCAAAGGTATATTCCACAGGTGTCTCCTAGCTGACGTCAGCTCTCCTATCACCTCTGGAAATAATTGTTTTGAGTCTGTAATTTGTCTGATTGATTTAAAGGAGAAGGCGAAGGGGTGGGGGAAATCCGTCACCATTATTTGTTCACATTCCAAAGAACAACGAAGACAGATGTGTTTTGCAGGAAAGTTTGGAAAACGTTCTGGGAACAGCCTCGGAAAATTTGGTGGGGGCGGGGAAGAGGCCTATTTCTATCAAGTCGAAGCTGAGGGTTACTTGCAGATGGCGGTTTTATTAGAAAAATGTATTTGTTAATGAACGTAGCTTCGTACGCGATTGCCATACAGATGTTTCTGTTTATTTTTACCTTGGGTTAAAAATCTGCTGCAGGATTCTGTGGCAATTTGTCACTGCTATTGTTTGGCAAGGAAATAATTGCATGCAAAGGAAATAGTGAGATTGCAAAAGCAGAAGGAACTGTTTGCTCCACTTGTCTATTACAAAAAATAATAATAAAATCCCAGCCCCATTAAAAAAAAAATTGAACATGAAAATTGAAGTCGGAAAAGAGCGTTGAAGGGTGCATTCCATGCATGGATATAACCGAGGTTAATGACAGTATCATGGGCTGGATCCCAGACCCCTTGAACAGAGGAAGAAAATAGATCCATGCGGTAAATAAATTTGAAAAATACAGATTAACAGAGTTAGATGATGATAGACAGAGGATAGACAGACAGACAGACAGACAGACAGACCGACAGACAGACAGACAGATGATAAATATATGATGAGAGATAGATCATGGTTTTGATCATGGTTTCTGTTTTGTACATTGTTCACCAACATATTTCTGTAGCCTGAATATTGGAAGGTTATGAGATGAGATTATGATATGTGGATAAGAATGTTTGTTATTAGCTTTCTAAATGAAAGTGATGGGGATGACATGTGTCTTTTAAGGTAAGGATGGATGGGTGAGTGGGTGGATGGATGGATGGATTGATAATTAGATAGATGATGGATGGATGGATGGCTAGCTAATAGTTAGCTGGCTAGCTAGATGATAGATAGATAGATAGATAGATAGATAGATAGATAGATAGATAGATGGATGGATGGATGGATGGATGGATGGATGGATGGATGGATGGATTGATAAATAGCACACATAGGCATAAATTGAAAAAGAAATAGCAATCACCTTCCAAATTAAAACAATTCAAGTGCATTGCTTGTATACATCATTTACTTTTGATTTCTAATTTACGATTGATTTCAGCAGGGCCTGACGGGGACAGCCAAAGGGCCAGATGTGGCCCCGGGGGACCCCCCCCTCCTAAAATGCCCAGGTCTTGTCTACACAATGTTTGCAACTGTGCAACGATGGAAGATCTACTTCGCTTGTCGCCGCCCACTT